ACTTCACTAACTAATCTACTTTAACTTTCGACGAGTAACTTAACTCGTTCTCAATAACTCTGAGATACGACTCGTTAACAATTAACTCCCAATAGTTCTGACGCCTAAAGGCCGTTCCGCAACATCCGTGCCTCATGTCTATTTACTCTTAGTTTTAGTTAGAGATCCGTCATTCCGTATAAGTCTTAACATTTACCTATATGCCTCCTACGCAGCGTTCCAGTTCATAAATCCCGCATGATCACATTAATTTAAATGCCAAGTTCAAAATGCCAATCAAAGCTATGCTAAACAAATAACAAGTGCAACTTCAACTTAATTCAAGCTATGTTTACATATCCAAATACCCAAGGACTTTATTTAATTATCCCGCATCTTTTCCTTTCTCCCATGACTAGGATAAATTCCCAATGAACTTAATTTCCTAATTATCGCAATCCAAAAATTCCAATACATAACCCATTCAAATTTCAATCTAATCGACCTTCAGGGTAAGCCGTTCCCTCAACTGGGGTCCAATTGAGCCAATAAAACATTCCCCAGAAGCCAATGGAATATCCAGTACATTTCTAATATTTATGTTAATTAATTCCCTATTCCCTCTGTCATATTGCCAAATTAATATGTGACTACTTTTCTGTGCCATTGACGCATTTCTATTAATAGTTCATTCGCCAAGTCAAAATTTAACCCAATGTTTATTTAACTAACTCGTATTAAATCCAACAATATACCACTATACATTAAGCCAAGATATTCCATCGAATTCCAGGAAATGCCTAACTAATTTCCTATGCACGCAAATTGTCACCCAGTAGGGTCATCATCCTAATATACGATAGACCATGTCACTATCTACCATCCCTCCAAGTTTCAGCTCCCTAGGGTCATTGGGGGTCGAGGAGTAGCCTCCGGGAGTCGTGTGGGGGTTTGTTTGTTTAAGGCATAAATCGGGCCGGGGTGACCTTGAGGTTCCGAAACTTCAAACTTAAGCTTCCCTCATCCAGGGCTACCACATATATAAAATGAGCTCAATCGGACCAGTAGTTAAGGATTTCCGGTGGGGCCGTTTGCACTTCCGGGAACCGTTATCACCCGGCCCCAGGGGGTCAAGCGGGTCCGGCGCTTTGCATGCCCGGGTCAAATCATCTCTAGTATCACTCCATTAAATTTCATAACGTTCGCCCTTATAGTTCCCGAGTTGGGGGGGGGGGGTTGGCGGGAGCTATTGCATTCACTATTTTCACTAAAGAGGGGGATTAATCCCACGAACTTAATTAAACACGAGTTTAATTCAATCTTAACTTAACCACTCTATTATTTACCGATCTTTACCAGACGCTATCAACGAATCAGCTCTACTACTACTTAGTTTGCATGTTCAAGGTTCAAAGAAAAAGCCATGTACGTTATACAGTAGAATTACCGATTCTACAAATTTATTGTGATGATTATTATTTTGCCCATACTATCACCATCACTATCTCAGTCGACCAAAAAATGTTGCTTTTGACTTGCTTGACCAATTTTATCAAGTATGAGTATTGTACAGATTCGGTAATTTTATCAATAAAATTGGTTTGTTTCGCATCTTTTTCCCAAGTTTTCCGAGAAATTTACAACACATAGGGTTCACAACAGGATCTGATCTTATATACAAAATTTTAAGTTTTTCTCTAACCACCCCACCCCACCTCATTTTGAGAAAAACTATTCCCATCATTTTTGTGACTAATACCGCTAGGCTGATGAGTAGAATGTTGATTGGAGAAGATTGAGATTGCCCAGTTATACTATATTTTTAAATTGTTTAAGTAAAACTTAGTCGTTTTAGAAAAAAAATGTAGCCAAGTTTTTCTCTTGCCTCGAGAATTTAATTTTTATTAACTTCTAGAAAATCCAGTTTGAAAACTGGTCGGAAAAACTTATTTAAATACCATGTAGTAAAAATAGACTCTTGTACGGTAATAATGCGGCCAATTAGCTTGACTACATTTAATTTGGAAAGCTTTGAATCAAGGTCGATTCTTCAGGCTCATTTAACTTTTTTTCTCAAATTAGTATTACTTATTTTTCTGCGTGGTGTGATAAAAAGATCAGTACGAAAAAAAAAATTTACACTTATTCGACAGTCATATTAAAAAAGCACAATTTGATGTAGAAAACTAATTTACGAAACGAAAAAAATCGTGAAAAAATTCAGTTGTAAACCCCAAAATTGCGCTAAAAAACTCCAAAAACTTAACTTTAATCGGATACAATTAAATTTTGATGGCTTAGTTTAAGCTTTAAAAGACTATTTTTTGCCTGCAAGTTCTGCTTTTTTAAAGCTCAAAATGAGACCAAAAATCAAAAATTTCAAACCGGTTTTTCTCGATATTGAGAAAGTGTTTCCAAAATTTTTATATGTCGTTCGAATCACGACTGGAGAAACTTTTGTATGGTATATCAATCGAACCATTCCGATGAATAATTGTGGTACCTGATTTTGCGTGGAAAAAAAAACAAACTAAACCACACCCGAATAGAAAATTCTTCCACAGTTTTTAATGGTCGAAACAAAAAACACAACTCAATTCGGCAATGTTGCCAATTTTTTCTTTAAATTTCTGTAACGTATTCATTGAATGGAGCTTTGAGCATCAGTAAATTGGAAATTTGCTGTATTTTATGAATAATCCATCAATTTTATACGAGAAAAGGTAGAAATACGGAAAAGTAGACCAGCATGCCCCCTTTTTTCAGAGAACTGCAAGTAATAAAGAACGGAGCGACAAAAATGTGGAGATGTCTAAAACATAGTTTGCGACAATTTTTTCCAATATCACCACAAAATGTCTACTCAAAACTTCATTCTTATTGTTCCGACTTTCGATACGAAAGTAACGGAATATTTGTGCTCGGGGAGGGTTTTTTTTCTTCAGACAAATTTCGACTTTTTAATTTTTAACTAGCCATTTTTGACGGAAATTTTTTATATCATTCAAAAAGTATTGTTGTCCTGAGCTTAAATTTGAAAAGATATTTCACCTGTGATCATTTTTCGTAAACTTATGAGGGTTTAAATTTTGCCATTTTGACCAATTTGGGACAATTAACGCGCGATATAATTCGCGCTATTAACGCGTAAGCGGAGGTTTAATTCGTCTTATAAATCGTTCCAAATTGGTTGAACGAATTTTATTTGTCATAATTGATTTGTTACAAGGAACGAAATCTATCTGTTTGTACTTTATATGGCGTGTGGGGGATGATTTTCATAAAAAATTTCAAATTCTAGAAAAAAAAATTTTCAATTTTTTTTATTTCATTAAATTTTTTAAATGTTATTACTGCGGCTCCATAAACCTTAAAAGGCAGTCGGAACATTCAGGGCTTGGCTCTGATACGAGCAGTCTTGTTGTATATTTATGGTCGCATGAAGTACGGTGACAACGAGCATTGAATTGATCTAGCTGGCTATACAAACAGCAATTCATTGAAGCAGTTAACTTCGCAACTGCTGTTTGAAAAAGTTCCATGGACAAGTTTTTAAACAGAGGAGGGGTTTGTAACTCAGGGTTTGTTTTTGGGATTTCAAAAGAGAATTGGAGGAAGATTTGACGAATAGAAATGATTTTCTGTTGTGATATACTGTCAAACTAACAGAAGTTTTCCAGTTGTTACTGAGGATAGAAGCCAAGCAACACTACATCCAAAAATTCGAAAATAAGTAAGGCAGGGATTGATCATTTCCTACGACAAATGGCGGGTATGCAATGGTATTGATGCATTTCTAGTGACACCACAATACAAATACGAAACGGTCGACCACTGCATTGGTTCGCAGCTGGATCAACCGGTGATCACTTAATGGGAAGCGAAGTTCCAGTCAAAGCTGGGTGTTCTTTCATGGATGTTAGAAAGCCATTGAAACGAGTGTATCTAGCACCAGAGATGGGAAAAACTCACTTGGACTCATTTCAAAAAGGCATCGAGACACATTTTTGATCGGAGTTCTTCTAATTAATGCAAAGTTCGAGTGCGTAAGACTAATGTACTCTGAAGGAGCCTGGTCAAGTTGAAGGGACCAGTCTACCATAGTACCAACACATAGAGCATACTTCTCATCTTAGTTTGTCCGAAAGTTGGAACAATAGAACCATGTGACAGTGCAATCCGCTGTTTTTGGTTGAATCCGCAAAGTTAATCCTTCTGATTTCAAATCCAAAACTGACAATGCTAAATTCTCCTTAATTGTTTTAGTTTAACAAAATATATCTCATCAGCCTTCAAAATATCAACTTAACGAAACACAAATGACTAAGGGCACCCAATAGCTAAGCAATTATCATAGTATTTGATGCGAATAAACTTGAAAAAAATAAAGGGAACTACTGTACGGTAAACAAACAAAAATAACGTACACGGGTTTTGTTTAAATTTTTTCAAATAAGTTTTTTTTTGCCATTCTCATTGGTTCTTGGGTCCTCGCAGTGATCGAAACTTATTTTCTTGTTGGTTATTTTCGAACTCGATGTCAAAACGACAGTAAACTCATTTTGGCAAGATCGGAAATAATTCAATTGGCAGGATCAGGACGGTTATCTTAATCTAGCCTGAAAAACAATATTGTTCGGGCCAGTTTTCCTCGACACGAACGAAGCTTGTAAAATGACTGTTTCTGATAGGAGTCCAAGTTGCACTTGAACGGTATTCATTGTAATATCACACAGCACCTTTTACGAGCATTATTTGAGACACTAATCACCGCGAAGAAGCTCCAGCCCATAATCATTTATTTCCTTCTCCAATAAATTGAATTCTTCAGGACAGAAAATCAAATGTGAGAATTGAAAAGTCTATCAATGGAGTAAATGATTTATGAGGAAGCGCAAATTATTTTGTCCAGAAAAAAAACACTTTCTTTAGCGGTCGTGTGACGACGCAGCTTTGGGCTGAAGCTCTTAACAGCCAATTGGCGTATTAAGTATAAAGAACAGCTCCACTTGCTCACTCACCATCCAACTCCTCTTCCTGTTCAGACATGAAGGGCTTGGTGCGTCTGAACAACTCCACCACAAGAAGGGCAGGCGGCAACACCATCAGAGTCGACATCAAACTCACTCCCATCTAATTCACAAACAAAAAAGCAACAAGTCATTGTCTTAAAATAAAACGGGAAAATTAATATTTTTTTAAATAAAAATCAAACTAAAACGTTCTACGAATAAATGCTCTTAGTCATAACTGGAGGCATAAATAACTTTTAATCGCTACCCGCACCGGTGTTCCATGGATAATAATCGATTATAATGGAAAATTGTTGCCTAAAATGTTGTCAGTATACTCCATTATTGTTGCGAATTTAGACCACGAAACCGATTTGATTGTCATTATGAACGTTTTTTTTTTCGTAAAACAAACAATCCATTAAAATCCATCTATAATGGATTATAATCCATTTAAAATCCATTGTAATTGATTATAGCGGATCATAAATTTTAATTTTTTTTTGCAAAATCATTTGCGAAGCTTGCAAAATTTCTGCATTACTCACGGCCTACTCGCAATCTAAACCTACTCAAAATAACCCCCCCCCCCCCTCACTTTGCCCCCCCCCCCCCCCACATGCATATGTCCAATACCTCCCCCACTCCCCTACGTTTATCCCTACGTCCACCCCATGTTTACGAAAGTTAACCTCCAAACCCAACCCCCCAAAGTTACAGCCCCCCCCCCCCCCCCAGTTTGTTTTCCATTCAACGGAGACGTGGCGGTGGATTACTCAGTGTAACCTCCTCGCCCAAGTTTTTTGGTAAACTGACGAGGGGTAAACTGTGTGTGTGTGTGTGTGTGTGTGGGGGGGGGGGGGTAAACTGGGGAAGGGGAATGTTAAACGAGGCGATGGAGTTTACATAGTATAGAAAAAGTAGAGAAAACTTAAATAAACAAAATCTTATCTGAAAAGTAAAAATTTATGAAAGGTAATGCGTAGCAACTAAACAAAACAGGAAATGAGATAACTTTGAAAATTCATAATTTCTTCTCAAAAGTACATTCTAATCGATTAACTACTACTGACACTCACCTCGGCTAGGTTGAACTTGATGGGTCCGACCCAGACAGTGGATGATTCATCGACACTCTGTCGGGACTGGTAGTACATGGCACTCACGCAGAACTCCAACAGCAGAATACACATTGCACACGAACACCTAACGAAACTCATAACTTTACGCAACACAGCTACAGATGAGCAAATTTTTAAATTTTCGAAGTTTTCGAAAATACCAAGTGCATTTTTATTTTCTTGAACTTATAGAGCGATCCTTCAACGCACATCAAACCCGGGAGCCCAATTCCGGTCTGAACTGGTTTTGCATTTGCAAAAATGAAACAGCGAGCGTGGCATCCTTCTGTTTACTTCTCGAAAACAGCAGAGTCCAAGAGTTTTGTAGGTAAATGGCGATAACCGTGCTTGGGTACTGCATGTCTACAGTTTAAGGGTTTTTAAGTACTTTATGCTTTATTTCATCAACACTGCAAGACTCTTCTTTCGGGAACTTGAGCTCTCCCCTAACAAGTAGTTGATAGTGGGACAGAAGGTGTCATTAGAAAAACCTAAGGGTTGGAAAGATGTCGGTAAAAGCACCGAAAGGTGATGGGGTTGAATTAATCCTGAAGTGAACGGGCATAGAATGATGAGCTAAACTGCAAATTTGTAAAACTGTAAATTTTTTAATCGAAACTTTAATGAATGAATGAAAAAATAAAAAACAGGGATAGCCGGTTACTGTGCAAGTAGCACAGAATGTTCCGACCATAATCTAAAATATACAAAAAATTTTAAATTTAAATAGTGTGGTTTTTTTCTGCGTAGTGAGATAAAAAGATCTAAATGAAAAACTAGAGACTCTGCTGACCTCTGACATCTTGTGAAGTGGCTTTCGACTGGTCGGGCAAAGATAGAGTAGTAGAGGTGGCCGTCGTTCAGCTTCTCCCTGGCCTTGGCGGCGAACATGTAGCGGAACTGTTTCATGTTCTCCGGCTCTGTCCTCTCAATCGTCCGGTCTATCAGACCATCTTCATTCACCAGAGACCACCACCGATACGCCATGAAGAAAGTCCTGCAAACGCCAAACGCCAAACTCCCTTTATCCTACTCATGTTTCTGCACTTGAATCAAACATACCGAGTATTTCCTATGGTTGCGGATAGCGAAAGGAACAACTTTTAGGTTTTTTTTTAAAATAGCGCGCTTGGTAACAAATTGTACAGAGTTTAGGCAAACTTTAATCGGTTTTTGGCGAACGTTGGCATTGAAAGAGTGTTGTGGGTGGAAAGTAAAGGGAAGCTCCCACTACTCACTTTTCGCCAGTCTGGACGTCTCGGAAGGCGACGTAGTCACAGAACCAGTTCTGGTCAGAACCCACTGCCGAGTTGTCGTGCCACAGACGCACACTCGTCAACTTGCCCAGGGACCTGGACAGAATAGGACACACTTCTTCCTTTCAATACACTTCACAGATATTTAAGAACAATCTTAACTGCTCGTTTTCTGTTTGATTGTTGTTAAATGTTTCAGAAGCGAAAAAAAGAAACGAAAAATTAAGTCAATTTAGCTGAACAAAGCAAGCAAAATATCACACTCAGATGTCCCAACCTGGGCTGCTCGTTTTTAAAAAATATCACTTTGCAAATTTTATGATTACGGTGTAAAAGGGCAAAATATGATATTCTAAGGATCACAAAAATGAGCAATTTGTAGGAGAATTGAACCGAAAAGTTAAAAATATATTTGTAGTCTCGCAGGGCTCAATTCTAGGACTACTACTTTTTAATCTATTTATTAATGATATACCGAAATTGAATGAAAACACAAATGCCTATCTCTATGCCGATGATACAGCCATTAAAACTCAATTTGAAAAATCAATACTGTTTGAAAATGGCGAGGATGCATTGAAAAAACGAGGATGGTCGAAAGCAAGCTGATTTCGAGTTTGAAAAAAAAACAATTTAGTTCAGAAATAGTAATGAAAAGAACAAGTAATCGTTCAGAAAGAATAACGTAGACACGTGTAGGTTTTTTCGTGGTGAAAATGAATCTGTGATTCTAAGCAAAATAATTACTTCATATGAACTCTTCAACTTGCAACATAATCTTAAAAGAGTAAAGAAGTTAGAGATCAAAAACAAAAACACCATACGTTTTTGGTTTTTACCAGAGATCGAAAACTTCCTACAAAACTTTCCTTCAAAACTTTTACCAACTTTTAGCCAAATGGTTTGCAAATTGAAATGGAACGAATTTAACAACCTTTTCCAGAAGTTTCTGGAGACTAAAATAATAGGAATTAATGAGTTGGTCAAATTATTATTCTTATCTTTTCTCAAAGTAGCAATTTTCTCCAACGTTTACATTCTCATCAAAATTTCATGTCTAATTATTTTCCTCTTTAGCTTACTTTAGTTTTAAAAACTGATTATTGTAAAAAAAGAATGTTGGTATTATTACACCATCTTTATTAAATTCTTGTTTTTTTTTGTGCTCAGAGAGGTCTGAAAACAGGCATAAATTGCCTGACGACGATATCGCAGACTGGGTTCTTCAAGTGATCAACTATATAGTTTATATCAATCGTTATGAACCTATACAGGAAACAATGTATTATTACGATATTAAAACACAATCAGTCTTAGCTGAAGTTTGACGGTGCTTTTGGAATGAAAATTGACCAAAAACACACATTGACGCAAAAAAACGGGATCATTAACAAAAACTGCACCTAACCTTTAGGGAATTGTGTTGGTTTCATGAATTGATCAAGCTCAAAATAGTCTTGTTTCCTATAATTATCGAAATAGAAATGAATATATATATATATATATATTTGCAGATGACAGTGGGAGTACGTGGGCGTTGTGAGTAGAAAGAGATCTTTGGAGTCCCTCTTCATGATTCTCCTGTAGGGGTCCTCTACCACATGGATTCTACTCCTGCCCTGATCCCCCACCAGGTAGAAGTACACTTTGCTCTTAGTGCCCGCCCCCTGCACCATGCCAGTCTGGATGGCCATCTCGTACGTGTAGTAGTCCTGGGGGTCGTTGTCCGGCAGGGGGGTGAAGCCGAGCTAGACAAATTCAGCCAACATGCTAGTAAAAGAACACGTTCTAACTACTAAGTTTGTCTGTTTGCGTTGGTAGATCTTATCTTCAAGGTATATAACATATGACACTTTCACTGAGAATATCTCGTTGCGTTTTTATTTTTACACTGAAGGAAGAGGTCATTGCTTACTTCATACTTGAGTCGGAGAACCTAACGATTTCGTTTCTGCTCAAACTAATTCTGACAGCTCGTAACATTCTCGTACTTATTTTTAGCTTTGCAAAAAGCGACACGACGTCAGTTGATAATTTCATTTAATAAATGCGGCAGAAAAAAATTTGAAACTGTTCGTAAAAACTCATAATTAAAGTTCAGCTAATTTTTTGTATAATGACGACGGAAACGGATATGTAATCCCAAAAAAAACTTTTGAATCTGAAGCGCAAACAATATAAAAACAGGTTGTTGGGCAAATATATACAGCAGAGACCGAACAGTTAGTAGTTTGAAACCTAAAAGTTGAAAAGTAATGAGCATTTAGGAAAGAAAAGAGACCTTTGCGATGTCTTTTTTGTCTTGTCGTCTGGCCCACATCATGATGAGGAGGTAGACTGCCCAGAGGGAGAAGAGGAGGATGTAGACGGGGTACATGTCCTCGAACTTGAAACTCATGGCCGAGAAGTCCAAAGCGGGGGGCATAGGGGCGAGACTGCCGGCGAACGAGGTCAGGTGCATGCACATGCACTCCGTCACGTACTCGTTCGACAGACTGCCCACCTAGCCGAAATGAAACAACAAACAGTAGACATGTGAAAATGTTTAATCAAATTCTGGCGGATAAGCTGGAAATCTTCAAAGCGTTTGGCAAAACTTTGGTAGAATAAAAACGTTGGTTAATGATTTGAATTTAAAACACTTCCATTTCAGAAGCTTCAGCTGAACCATAATTCGGCAGAAATTAAATAAAACGCAGAGGTGAAGCTGAATTTAGCCAACACAAGTGAGGAAAAGGCAAAAAAAGGGTCGAACTAGGCAAAACAAAGTGAAATAAGGAAAAGATTCAAGCTACAGCTTGAAAAGTTTTTTTTGAGACTACGAGTATCACGTTTTCACATGTATGGAATGTGAGAAGTAGAGAAGTCCATATTTTGCGCTTTTGATTGAAACCTTCATTTCAGCTTTGTGCATTTAAAATTTGCGGAAAAGAAAAAGTTCAAAACAAATAGGCCCACTACTGACACTTTAGAACACGTGGGGTAAAATGAAAAGAGACTTGCAAAATATGCAGGCACATAGAAGAACAGACGGTTTTTCCATTTACAGTGTTTTTGAAGAAAAATTGAAATAACTGCGAAAAGTGCAAAAATATTCTGAAGAGGTGCAAAAAAAAACAAAAAACAACATTTCCCATAACATTTGAATAATACAGGTTTTTTTAAGAGGACTTATCACTAGCCAAAAATAAAAGAGCAACATATGCCATTAAAATGCTTATGCTTGAATCAGCTTAAAAATATGATTAAAATGAAATATACCAGAAGTGGTACCAAATGAGCACTTTTATTTGCGACTTATCTTAGAAAAATTTGTCTTCGTAATATAAAACTACGCTTCGATTGTGTAAATAATACTGATTAGGTTAGTTATTGAGCTAACCACACATCCTCTGGACTTGTAGTCATGTGAGGCATCCGGGTTGTTTGGGTCACTCTCCTCCATGAAAAGACAGCCTTGTGTCCAGATGTTGAACTCAAAGTCAGCCGCGAACACCTTCAAAAATTTAAAACAACTGAGAGTAGCTTCGCGTATTAATCCTTTCTTAAGTTAAAAGAAATACACAATTAATTACTCGTCTGCGGTTATTTTTGTGTCTGACTTCAATTACTCGAAACCAATGTCTCAGAGCTCATTTTAGCTATCACCAGATTGAAAGGCTATAAGCCAGCAAAAAAAACCAACGTTTCGAAAAATGCTCTATTCAAATGTTCAGAGTTTTTTTTCTGAGGAGATTTATTATTAGTTAATTTTTAATCAAATAAAGCACTAGTGGTCAGCCTTTTTGATGAAGGCTAAGTTGTTGTTAATAAATGCTAGCATGGCTCTTTTCTACACCGACCTTGTTGGAAATGACAGGTGTGTCAAAGTAGTCCCAGTCGAAGTTCTTCCGACAGGGTCTGATTCCGAACCAGTATGTACCGGAGTCTCGCACCAGGTGGTTTTCAATCATGTACACATTCTGGTCTGGATACTGCTCCCCCTCATGTCTTCTCCCTTCTGATTGGTTAAAAAAAACATTGTTAATTTTCTATTTCTTCTTTTTAAGATTTGGACAAACAAAAAAGTTCTTAAATTTTTTTTATGGACAAACTTTTCTCTTAATGAATGAAATCAGCACAGGAAAAAACTTGTTGTCATTTAAATTCTCATTATCAGTAGCATGCCGAGATGGAGAGGCGGGGGAGCGGAGGAGAAGGAGTGTTTTCTCTCAACTCTGGTTGCCACAATTTTCAAAGGATGTGCGGAATTTTGTTTGAAAATAGGGTCTGAATAGGGTTTTAGGAGAGCTTGAAAATCAAGTTGGCCGACCTAAAACCGAATGTTTTGAAAAGAATATCCACTGCTTGAGGTTTAATTTAACGGTTAAGCATGTATCAATTTGGCACCAGTGAAACTTGTGAAATGGTTAAAGATACTGAAGATGTCACGTGTGAACACCTGCTCTTGAAAGATCTCTGGGCAGCATCTCGAAGAAGTCGTACTGCCACGTGTTCTTAACGGGGTCATGGAAGGGAGGCTGGCCATACCGGCCATAGACACAGAGCCACTCATCCACCACCTGTTTCACGTACTTCACATACACACTGATCGCCACATCTCCCTCTATGTCGATCGACCGCAGGATGAACTGGTTCTCCTGGCCCTAAAGAGGGACAAAATGACTCTATTAGGAGAATAGACAGCTGTCAATCAACTCATCAGCCACAATTTTACATCTTTGTCTATCCTTTCGATTCTTACATTTCTTGCGTTTTTTAAAACGTTCAATGTCCGCATCTTTCTCAACCGACCAGACCACCATCCCAACAGTGGAAAGGAGTAATTGAAGGGTGACTTTTTTTGCTCTTTGATTTATTGTACCCAGGTTGACCTCCATAAACTGAAAATGCTTATCTTGCAATTCCATACACCGAAAATGCTTATCATACAATTCCATGCATCAAATGTATGGAGAAATGATAATCATACAATTTTCATACAATTTAAAAAAAAACATCGAATAAAGATTCGAACTAGTTTCTGCGGCTTTTTCAACCAAACAAAAAAAATAAGTTTCTTCTTTTTTTTGGAAAAAAATGGTTATCATAGAATTTCCACATACGAAAATTATGACTAGCATTTTTCAGTAATATTAAAATTGCCCCAAATTTTTTTGTTTTTTTTTCAACCGCAAACCGAATTTTGTACTGAGACAAACATTTTCCAAAAATTTTTTTGCATGCAAATACTAATTTTTTGTCTGCATAACGTAGTCCTGGATACACAAAAATTGGATTTTTTCCGTTTCTCTGAATTACTTTTTTCGAACAGGCTAAGAACTCCTATTTATTTTGTATGGCTTGTTTATATATGCATTGATCAATGTCTGATAAAATGAAAACCTAATTTTAAAAATAATCATCTTTGAAAGTTTTTGCCAAAGTTTTTAAGTTTGATGCTTTCAATTATTCATTTGAGAAGAGAACTCTAACATCTTTCAAGTCGTTTCCAGTGCAATTCAATTGCTAGACGATTAACCCTTTGGTGACTCTAAATTTGAGTTAATCATGGTTGCAGTCACTTGTGTTTGTTCACGAACACATACCAAAAATTTTGAGAAATAAATTTCTAAAAAATCAACTCTTTGATTCATGAAAAAATGCTTGTCCTACAATTTCCATATATGAAAAAATTCTTATCTTAGAGTTTTCTTAACATCTTAGAGTTTTCTGTATCTATGGAATTGTACGAAATTGTATGATAAGCATTTTTTCATATATGAAACTTGTATGACAAGCATTTTTAGTCAACCCGGGTACTTACAAATTGTAAGTGATCGACAGTAGAATCACATCAAACATTTTGGGCACACTTTGAATATAAAAAATCCCAAAAAATCTCTCAGGGTTGAGAGAATCTGGTCTGAAAAACTTTCCTTTCATTGAAATTACTTCGAAACATTTGCCGACATTTTTTTTAGGTCGCCCAAATTGATTTTCCGAGCTCTACCAAAGCATCAAAAAGACCCCATTTTAACCAAATTTTCTGCGCCGCAGCCAATTATTTGAAGAAAAACAGGCCATAAAAGGCATTTTTTTGGCACTTTTTGGAAAAAGTTGACCAAAAACTCGCGTTGTTTAGGCGCTCGCTCCCCCCTCAAAAATTAGTTTTTACTGGCGCCCAAGGTGCCTTTAGAGAAGTTCTAGGTTACCTCACTAAAAATAGATATCTGAAAAGGGTAAAAAGTCGGCAGGGGGTCAAATCTATGAGAAGGGAGCGTCAATCCCCTCAGATCTGGAAAAACCTATTTCAAAATTAATTTCAGATCTGAATTTAGTTTTTCTTGGTCATTTTAGTTCTGAAAAATCAATGATTATGACACAATTTTTGCTATTTTTGATTTTTATTGTTTGTATTTGATAGCTTTTGCTAGTTACTAGCAGGTACTCAGCCAAGTCTCAAGCTGGAGACTGCCAAGTTATGTTTCCCCCAGGCTTGTGATAAACATTGGAAAATCATGAAAATCAAAAAATTTGACAGTCGTTTTATCAGTTTTTTTAAATTTTTTTAACAGAGTTGAAGAAGACATTTAGTGAAAAAAACTGAAAAAAAAGTTCTTTTTTACCGCTAGTTAATCTTAACATAAGTGTGTATTGCAGAAACATCAAAAAATAAAAACTCAATTTTTTGCTCGAAATGCATAAATTATAATTTAACAAAAGATTTCCCAGATCCAAATTTCCGATCTGAAAATTAAAAAATCTTATCAAGATCTGAAAAAAGAAAATTCAGATCTGAAAATCAACTTATGTAAGAAATAAAGAATTTCAGACCTTGCCCAGAAAATCCCCTATGTACAGGTACTCAAATTGATTTTCTTAGACACCTACTGGTGGAGCTCGAAATATACTAGCCAAGAAAAGCACCCACCCGTGTGTCGAAATGAAAAAATTATTTTGAATGTGTGGGGCGATGAACTGCAGGTACGGAAAATGGCTTAAACCAACAAAAACACTGCCTAAATTTGTTGAATTTGAAGTTTACTATAATGGGGGGTTTGAATTATGTATCTTAGAATAAGTTTTAAAAGTCTTTTTTGTTTATGAAAGACCAATGATTTCATCTGGTGAATACCAAATCAAAGAGCTGGATTTATTGAATTTTTTTTTTGCTCTGAAATTAATAAGAAAACCGAAGTTTCAGATTTTATTAGGACTTGAAACTTTCAAAAAAACCTTGCTTTTTAAAACTGGGGCTTATACTGCTACTTTTTAACTTTTCTGTTAACTAATCATAGCCGCCCACTGAAATCCTCTGTCATTTCTCACACCTCCACCTAATGTCAATTAGAAAGGAGGATGTTAACAAGATCGTAGTTTTTTGCATATGTTTGTATGTAAGTTCGTACGTATATTTTTATATATGTTTGTGCGTATGTTTGTATGTATGTTTTATTCTAAGTATGTTTGTTTGTTTCTATCTATCTATGTATGTATAAATGTATGTATCTATGTATGTATATTTGATTGCATGTATGTATGCATGTATGTATGTATGTTTGTATGTACGTATGTTTGTATCCTTGTTTGCATCTTTGTATATATGTATGTATTTATGTTTTTAGATATTTTTTGCATATACGTTTGATTGTATTCATGTTTGTTTGTATGTGAGTAAGTTATGTATGTATATTTATTTGTATGCCTGTTGGTATGAATGTATATTGTATGTATGTCTGTTTATTTTTATTATGTATGTCTATCTCTTTGTATTAAAAAAGATAATGTTGTCTATATTGGTTACACATAATCGATTATAATGGCAACATTTTTGGGCAGCATTTTCTCAATATAATCTATTTTAGCCGAGAACTTTCGGTGCGAGACTTGAACAATCTAAAAAAACGGCTAAAACGACAACAGTTGAGATCCTCCGCCCCACTATTAAGTTTGAGTTGAAATTGTGTAGCTTGTAAAACCAAGATTAAAAAGTCAAATGAGAATCCCAGATCGTTGTCGGGTGAGGATGTTAACTTGGCCAAGACTTGAAGCGAGTAATGGTTTATTTTCACTTCATAACTAAAATTTGATTATTTTCGAAAAGCAAGCGACTAACAAATCATTCAAAATTGTTTTTCATAAGAGTGTGTCTTGATTTTCAAACTGTATACCCTAGAATAAAGAAGGCATTTGATTGAAATAAATAAGGAAAGCAAGTATCAAAACAAATTTTTTCAAAGTAATTTCTTCTGAAACAAATTTAGCAAAGGGTTGAGAACTGGTGGAGTTCGAGTTTTTCATCGCTTAGCTTGATACATTGAAACTATTAAAAGATCAGCCAAGGTCATTTATTTGAAAAAAGATATGGCATTAGGATAGCTTTATTTAAGATTTGGGAGTGATCAAGCTACTATGGCCAAGTGGTTAAGGCGTTGGACTTAATCTCCAATTGAATGTAGTTCTCTTAAGCTAGAAACCCAGTGGTAGCAGATACTTTTTGAAAACGAGGTTAAAAACCTCGTAACACTAACTATTTGGTAGTTACCTTTCGTTCAGTTTCAGAACTTTTTTCAGAAAAAAGTTTTTTTGCCCCTCATTAGAAAAATTAAAAAGAAAACTTGAGTTATATTTTTTGTGTTGATGGGTTAAGAATCATGACAATTAAAAAGACCAAGTAAATTTCATACATTCCAAGAGTGAGAAGCCGAACAAACACTTCAAAGATTTTTTCTTTAAATGCTTTTGCGGATCAATTTGTTTTTTTTGCGATTGTTTTTTGATCAGTTGATTTATCAAGCTACTATTCCCGAGTGGTTAACGCGTTGGAATTAAGTTGCAATGGTCAGATGTCCTCCTGGGTTCGCACCCCAGTGGTAGCAAAAACGTATTGAAAACGAGATAAGAATCCTATAGCACAAAACTTTTGATAATTTACATTTTAGTTTAGTTTCAGAACTTTTGCGAAAAGCAATTGTTCGCCCCTTTCTAAAGATATTTTAAAAACTTGAGTTTAATTCGTTTTGTTGATGGGCTTGGAGTTGAGAAAGTTAAGGAGCTCAAGTATTTTAATATTTCCCAAGAGTGGTTTGCCGATCAAACATTTTGAAGTTATTTACTGTTTTCTTAAAAACTTTTTGCAAATCTTTCTGGTGTTATTTTTTGCGGAGGCTAGTTATCAAGCTACTATGGCCGAGTGGTTAAGGCGTTGGACTTAAGTTCCAATGGACAGATGTCCTCCTGGGTTCGAACCCCAGTGGTAGCAGAAACGCTTTGAAAACGAGATAAAAATCCTATAGCACAAAACTTTTAATAATTTACATTTTTGTTTAGTTTCAGAACTTTTGCGAAAAGCAATTGTTCGCCCCTTTCTAAAGATATTTAAAAAACTTGAATTATATTCGTTCTGTTGATGAGTTAGGAGTTATTATAGTTAAAGAGCTCAAGTATTTTAATATTTCTCAAGAGTGGTTTGCCGATCAAACATTTTGAAGTTACTTGCTGTTGTCTTAAAAACTTTTTGCAAATCTTTTTGGAGTGATTTTTTGCGGAGGCTTGTTAGCAAGCTACTATGGCCGAGTAGTTAAAGAGTTGGACTTAAGTTCCAATGGACAGATATCCTCCTGGGTTCGAACCCCAGTGGTAGCAGAAAAGCTTTGAAAACGAGATAAAAATCCTATAGCACAAAACTTTTTGATAATTTATTTTTTAGTTTAGTTTCAGAACTCTTTCTAGAGATGTTTAAAAATTTTGAGTTATATTCGTTCTGTTGATGGGCTAGGAGTTAATATAGTTAAGGATCCCAAGTTTTTTTATATTTCCCAAGAGTGGTATGCCGATCAAACACTTTGAAGTTATATACTGTTTTCTTAAAAACTTTTTGCAAATCTTTTTGGAGTGGTTTTTTGCGGAGGCTAGTTAGCAAGCTACTATGGCCGAGTGGTTAAGGCATTGGACTTAAAATCCAATGGACAGAAGTCTTCCTGGTTTCGAACCCCAGTGGTTGCAGATACTGTTTTAACGATTAAAATGAACCCAAATCTGAGCGCAATATCAAATTTTTTTCGCTACATATTTTGCTAATCAACTAGACCTCAACTTTTTTCCTTTTTTTTTCAAAATCAGAGAATGTGCGGAACAGGTTACGACTCCGAAACAATCGTTGATGTGGCAAACTAGCGTACATGATGGTTTAAACGTGATTATTGCTCCGACTGCCAACTTAACGTCACTAAACTTAAAGTTTCTCCAGTTAGTTCTCATAATTGCAATTGCTTTTCTTATAATTCAATTGTCCTCTATTAAAAAAGTTTTTGTTTTCAATTTTGTTAGACTTTTGTATATGCATTTCTTAGAAATTCAATTAATAGTATTCGCATTATTCTGTGCTACTTACACAGCAGCCAGTTATCTTTGATGCTCTAGTTCTCTGGGTTGACCTCCATGCACGAAACATACTTATCATACAATTCCATCCAAGAAAATGGTTATCATAAAGTTTCATGTAAGGAGTGTCTGGAAAAAGTCTTAATCATACAATTTATGGTTTAATAAGCAATTTTTACCCAATGGGGTTATATTTCAACCAATGGGGTTTCTTGTATTTGAAAAATCATGGTTATAGTATAGTGTTTTCGGACAAAACACAAAAATCATTCGCAAAACTCGAGAAATATTACGTTTTTGATTTAAAGAAAAAATGCTTATCAATTAATTCTCATACATGAAAAATAGCTTATCGTAGATTTTCTTGCAATTTTCTGTCGTCATAGAATTGTTCGAAATTGTATGATAAGCATTTTTCCATATATTTTTCATTCATTGCAAAAGATCGTCCGAAAGGTAGTAGGATTACGACAATTCAGGTATGTGATAGATCAAGCAAATATGGCCATGGGGTTAAGGCGTTCGACTTAAGTTCTAATGGACACGAGTGGTAGCAATGGACACGCGAACACAAGTGGTAGCAAATACATTTTGGAAGCTAAAAATGCACGTTCAAAACCCATGGTTCGACCCTATTCGAACCATGATTTGACCCTGTTCGACTCATGATTCGAACCTGTTCGACTCTATCGACCTTAATCGACTACTCATGATTTGATCCTGTTCAACCAGTATTTGACCCCATTGTACCCATGATTCGCTTTTGATTGACAATTTCCTTCGTTCGACTGTCTTAGGCCGAATCATGAGTCGAGCACCTCATCCCGGGTGACCGCAAATAACATGCATAAATTGAAGCGACAAACCTCACTTAACATAACAATAACTGATGTTTTTAAAATGCCAATCAAGAACGAAAGTGTGTTTCGACTTGGGTGCTGGGGTTAATGGGCCGAAAAAGAAGGACACTCACCAACTCCATCCAACCCCTCTTCGTCTCCAGCCCGGCCTCTTTGGCTTGCTTGTTGTCCTTGGGAATGTGGAGGTCGATGGCCTTCCTGGCCTCAGGTACCTGGATCTTGTGGTTCTCAGTGCCAGTGGAGAGACTGATACGGAGGAGGGCACTGTTGCCCACCAAGTAGTCTCCGGGGGTGCCAAAGAGGAAGGGACGAGGGGTGACCAGGGACTGAAACAATGGATGACAGATGATGGATTAAGTGAACAAAGCCCTACTCTAATTCATTTTAGGTGTCAGATCGTTCCCCTGTCTAAGAGAATATATTCGTATTAGTGTTTTGAATAATCATGCTCTTCAATTTAAACATCTATTTTGAAAGTAAACGGAAGCCTGGTTCACCTGCAGAGAAATGGCGTCTTGTGGTCTGTACGGATTGTCATCTAGCAGGTAGTCGAAAGCGGGCAGCTTCACTTTAGGCGGCTGGGGCATCGAAAGAGCAGTCACCGTCACCACTTTGCCTGAAAATAGTTCCTTATCTCTAAATAGAGACTGTTAAATCATAGAGTAGACAGTCTTAAGGGAAAGTGTCCGTACCGTCTGTGCCAGTGACGTCTTTGGACTGTCGCTTGACCAGCTCAATGCCCATGGACTCCGTGGCCAGTCCAGTGTTCGGCTCCTCGGCCGCCTTGTTCATCTGACAGGCTCCGGATATCTTGTCAATCGCATCCATAGCTTCCATACCCCAATCCTACAAGACCACAAGACACAATTAAATACTTACAAAATCGCGAAGCCTCCTTTGCCACATTCAAAATATTTTTTTTGTCTCAAAGTACCAAAACATGTTTGACCACAAAACGTTTGAGTACTAAGAGTGCATGAATAAAAAAACGTGTTCTCATTGTAACCAACTAAATCCGCTAAGTTTCAGAAGTTTTGTTTAAAAATTGAAACCAACCGTCATGCTTCCCTGCAGCGGCGTTGGAGTTCCAGTCACCGAATCTCTACAAAATATGGTCATTAACTCGTTTTCAAAGAAACTGCAGTTGAGATGAAAACACGCAAACTACAGATATCATCAACCAAAAATACTTGATATTTAGAGACGCGAGCTGTCACCAAGAAGTATATAAGTAGTTTCTCATTCAATTTTACCTTAATAGACTACTTATTACCATTATTAGGAACCAGTCATGGTACGTACACGTATTCATCAGGCATCAATGGTCCAATAGTGGTCACTACTTCTGTTCCATTATTAGACTCCTCCTTCTCCTCTCCATCGCCCACTATTTTGTCCCTGGCACCCTGGAAAAAACTCATACTTGATACTCACAGAAAATAGTGAAAAAGAAAATTATTACGAATTTTTATTCTTCTTTGCGCACCTTTAAAAATCATTTGTAGGAAACTTGCAGCCGACCAGAACTCCTTACGTTTTCATTTTGTTGACACTAACATTTTGCAAAATAAGAGTTGCATGGGATTCTAATTTAATTTTGGCATGGGGTTTTAGCATTTCTGTTATACCCAAACTGCTGGAATTGTTCAAACTGAAGTGTCAAGGTATTTTGACTGATAAACAGCATAATCGTCTAGGTGTGGAATAACAAACCAGAACAGTTCCAGCAGTGGCCCCGAGTGCGGGTGCGGCTATGGCCTCCGTGGTCTCCTGGTCCACTTCCGCCGCCAGCTCCATCAGATTCTGCCCAATCCGGTCCGCCATCACCTTCGCCGAACCCTAAACGCACAGTGAACCTGGAGAATATGGGAGAAAAATATGGTTATCTCTTTTCAGGTGACAAAAATTCTTTCTCTGGATGGCAGTAAAACTATTTATTTTTTCAGGCAATCACTGGTAATTTACTGAGAAATAACGTGTCTCGTTATAATAAACTGACACTAAACAAACTCGATATCATTAGAGAATTAATGGATCAAAAAAAGTTGGTTGGTAGTTGGTGGCGGCAGCTCGAATCTCAATTATAGATGCAAGTTCAGATACACTTGACAAAAACAACTGGTATGAGTGATCTGGCTATACTGACCAGTGCATATTCGGACATGGCGTCTGTCTCCTTGGTGGCGCCGGATAGTCCCCCCGCCACCGAGTCCAGAATCTCGGGCGAGTTCATCTCCCCCACTCCCCCCTCCAGACCCAACAACACCTCCTGGTTGATCAGCTCACTCAACTGGAGCAAAGTTTGGAAAAGAAACTGTCTAGCGAAAGTGTTTGTTGAGACCATTTATTCACGAGGGAAAGGACCAACATAAGAGCTGTAGAGCTCATCACAGAGAACAAAATCGTTTATTCGATACAGTGAAGAAAGTACAATCTGCAAAATCATTCACTGCATCAGGGTAGCTAGAAGAGGCTGTTCAGCCTAACAAGTAGTTACCCCCGGGATAACTATTACAATTAAGCAACGACAAAGATCAGTTCATGCTAATTAGAAAAAATTGTCGATCAGCTGTACATTATCAATAATTTAGTTTTCCTTGAAAATTTTAAAAAAGTTTGACAGTTTCTCATCAGAGTAAGTTTCAATGTTATCTGGAAGAAGCCTATTTGACATCAAAAAGTTGAAGCATTTCAAAATTTCATAAGAGAGAGAATTTTCCATCATTTTTTTTGCAGAGGTAAAAGGTAATCCTTCCATTTGAGATAGAACGTGTACTTCTTCGATAACTAAATTTATTAAAATTCAGATAGTCTAATGGAGAACGTTTTAGGTATTGGAAAATTTTCTCTTTGACCAATTGATTTAAATAGATTTCATGAACTGGTTCTAAACCAAGTTCATTAAATTTCGAAGTAATATGTTCAAATTTTCGTTTAAAGAAAATTGTTCGCAGTATCTTTTCTGAAATAAATAAACTTTTTCCAGATTTGTTTTGCTAGTACAACCACATACCAAAAGACCATATGATATTATTGGTACCACCTAAGCTAAATAAAACCTTAATAACTTTTTTTTCGAAAATACACACCGGCCTTTGTACATGATCACATTAAATCTTGCTAATTTTTGCAGACAATATTTACATGCTCGTTAAATCTAAGTTGATGATCATTTTGAACACCTGAAAATTTCAATCATTCAGTAAAACTAACATTTTCACCTCCCAGTGTAATATTTGTATCAACACAAGGTTTACCATAAGGTAAAATTTTAGATTTTGTAGAGCTAATCGACAATTTGTTACGAATGCACCAGTCATCTGATTTCCCTAAATCATTCTTAAAATCATCGGATATTCTCGATGTTGGAAAAGATGCAAGAATGGCAGCCTCATCGGCAAAAAGGCTTACTTCAGTCTTTGTTGCGATTTTGTTAATATCATTGATATATAGTAAAAAAAAAAGTGGACCAAGAACAGATCCTTGGGGCACCCCACATTTTATTGGTTTTTAGAAAATCTACCCTTCGTATTTTTAACGTATTGCTGTCTATTTGTTAAATTACTTAAGATGAGATCATTAAATCTGCCTGGAAAACCGTATGAATTTAATTTTTCCAAACGAATTGAGTGGTCAACTATGTCAAATGCCTTCTTCATGTCTATGAAAAGTGCTAATTCCATATATTTTTGGTCTACTGTCTTTCTTATAAATTCAATCACCCTTGCAACTGCATGGATGCAAGAATATTTTTCACGGAAACCAAATTGTTCTGGTATTATAATAGTATTGTGTTTTTTGATAAAAGACAACATTCTTTTATGTAGTAACTTCTCAAAGATTTTGCTGAAGACCGTCAGTAGGCTAATAGGTCGATAGTTGCTAGCATTTTGTTTGCTTTCATCCTTGAAAATAGCAATAATTTTGGCAATTCTGCATGAGTCGGAAAAATAAGCACTATCAATACATTTATTAAAAATTTTCGCCGAGAAAACAGAGATGACCGGTGCACACAATTTAAACATTTTTGTTGATAGCCCATCATGACCGCAAGAAGATTTTGGTTTTAGAGCAGTGATAATTTTGCTGATTTGTTGAACTAATGTGGTGTCCTTGCTTATGAACTACATGCAGTTTTTTTGGTTCTTTCTTTGTTATTAGATGTATAGTAGTCTGTGGTGTGAAGTGTGTACCTGTTTGAGCTCCTGCCTCATCTGGGTCTTGTGGGCGAGCACCTCCTCTATCTGCGCATTCTCCTCCTCACTCCACTCAGTCTCCCGCCCACTGCCCACCAACTCCAACTCGGCGGTGATGGCCGACAACTCAGCCTCCAACTCCGCTGCACATCACAACAACAACATCACTGACACACATTACGACGAGAAGGGAGGGTATATAATAAAATCATTGATATCGAAATTGAAGTGTTGGCTGTAATGGCAAATGTTTGAGCTCTCAACTGACTCATTGGAGAAATTGAAGCAAGAAAAAGGAATTAAGAAGCAGATCCGATAAACTCTCCAAAAACAGAAAAAAAGAAAATACCGAAAAAATGAAATAAAATGACTCGATTTGTAGCTCCAATTTATTTATTACACTCATTGCGAAGCCGAACTGTGCACTAGATATGCGCAAAATGGTGTCTGTAGGTTCCCAAATGTGCCCGCATCCAAGTTTAGGCGTAAAAAATCGATTATAACGGATTATTATGATGATATTTTGACAATTATAATCGATTATAATTACCAAAATTAGGTCTTTAAGGGATTTATAATTGATTATAATCGTGATATTTTCCAAGAGATTTTTATCTCTTATAATCGATTATGGTTGATTATAATTGATTATAGTTCTTACTAAAAACCCTTAAAATCAATTATAATCGATTATAATTGATTATAATCTCTTATTTTGCCGAAATTTTCTTATATTCGAAACATATCTTATGGGTTATTTTTTGTGTCAATAAAAAAATCTCTAAAAGAGAGATCTCTTGAACACTTTGGTTCATCTGAACACAAAGTTATACCACGAAACAAAAGTTTCATAGAGATCCTTTCATATGAGTGGAAAGGTTCTCGCGGTAGATGAAAAATAAATTTTCCGAATCAATCATGAAACTAAATCAATCTGCTGATGTTTTGGTGTTTAAAAAAGCTTAAAATATGCATCACAAAACAACTCTAATGAGGAAGAAATGAAAAAAAACTTATAAATTTGAATTAATTGGAAAACTTTAAAAACATTTTTCTCATTTTCCATAGGAACTAACGTACACAAAAAGCATAAAATATAAGCAATTTAGATGCAACTTCGAAGAAAAAAATGGACAAAACTAATAAAATAGAAATTTGATAAAAAATAATGGAATATAATCAATTATAATCGATTATAATTGTATCAAAAAATAGACGAATAAATATCCGATTATAATGGATTATAATTAATTATAATTTGAATTTAAAAAGAAAGATTATAATCGATTATTAATGGATTAAAATTGATTGTTTCTCAATTATAGTGAGACTGGTACTAAAATCGTAATATAATCGATTATTAACGCTTGAAACTGGATGCGGGTGAGTGCATTCCACATTCCACATAAAAAATTTCCGTGAGTTCCACGCATTCCACAAAAGTAAGCGGATTCCACAAATGCAAGCGGATTCTACAAATGTAAGCGGATTCCACAAATGTAAGCGGGTTCCACAAATGCAAGCGGATTCCGCAAATGTAAGCGGATTCCACAAATGTAAGCGGATTCAGCAAATGTAAGCGGATTCCGCAACTTTGTCGAATACAATGAAGTAATATCTAGCAAATGCGGAAATTTAAAAGCAAGGAATTAACTAATTTCAGTGGAAGCCGATAGCAAATCTTAAACCAATTTTCAACTAAAATTGTGGATGTACACCTTTATTACTTGTTTTTAGGATCATTACTTGGGTAACATCATTTTAAAACCGAATATACAAAATGGATATGTGAGGTTAGGGGGTTTTGGTTATCTATATGCGACTTTTGGTATATTGTATCTGATTATATATGTGACTATAAATAACCAGTGGCCATTTTTGGAATGCGTTTTGATAAAATATCTGTGGCTCTTAGACATATATGTGTTTTGGCGTTATTTGGGACGAGGATTGTGGCTATTAGGATGAGTGCCAGTGGTGATAATCTGGATGATACATTCAAACTGCTCAGGAGTCTTACTATAAGTTCAGTTAATCTGACCAAAATATGTTCCATTATCAGCAGATTTAATTTTCAATTCAAACACTCTTGTCTTCATTTACATTTCTGAGTTTTTATTTTTGTTCCGACTTTCAAAAACGGAATATTTATGCTCTATGTGGCTTTTTTATTCAGTCAATTATCAACGATCAAAATAACAGTTATTAACAAAAAAAGTTTATATCTCGTTGAAGATATTGACTTCCTTAAATCAAATTTGGCCATGCTCTGGACTAATTTATGTGCAATTCGAACATTTCATTCATCATGTTGAAAGCGTAACGCGAATAATTTATGCGTAGCGAATTATCCCGCACAACAAAATCGTTCCAAAATGAACTGAGACTATAGCCAATCGATTGTATTAATTTCGTGCGACTCAAACTTTTACACTTGATCTTTGATATTGTCGGAAATTTAAAGATTTTCAATATTTTGTTTTCCCAAAAAACTATTCGATAGAGATTGAGGGGCATAGTCGGAAATTTAAAGGCTTTGCCCTGATATACGAGCAGGACCCCGATTACAATTGCCGATTGCGCGACCGCGTAATTTTAGTACACATATATATTATGGTTTGCTTGTGGCTTCCATAAACTGTTCGAACTCCCCAAAACAATTTCGGATCCGCAGAATCAGCTGTGATTGGAGAAATTTTGATCAATACAGTGTTGTGTTTAATTTTTTCGTTAAATCTCAAAAAAAAAATTTCAAAAAAAGCAATGTCCGCAAAGAATTTGTTTCAGCCTGTTGCGGAATACGCATCCATTCACAAAATACACAATTTGGCCTCGTAATGCTGTTAAGAATCCCATTCAAATGTTACCTGCAATTTGATTCATCTGTTCCGTGGCAAACTGCACAAACGCACTCATATTTCTCTGACTCCCCTCCGCTATATACTTGGTGTAATTCTTCTCAACCGCATCGTACAGTTCCCGCTCGACCAGAAGGGACTCTTCTTCTAATTGATACGGGTTGTCTGTCAGCAACTCCTGCACACGGGGATATGTGGGTATGGTTGGGCTCTCCACCATAACTGCAGAAGTATTCGTTAGTAACAGGGGGGTTTCGGTTGCCGAGAACGGGGTTACTGATGCTGCTGCTGGGACTGTAGTTGTGGTCGTGGTCGTTGTTGTTGTCATTGGTTCAGTCACTAATGGGACAGCGGTTGTCGTTTTCTGAGATTGACATGTGACCATGTCATTCAAGCTGACTTTCTCAAACTGAAATACAATCATTCCTTTCAAAAATGCATCTTTCGGTAAACAAAGCTGTTTTAAAAAAACGTTTTTCGTTACGTTTTTCGGAGAAAACGACAAAATGTTTATACTCAAGTCGAGGCGGATCTAGGGTTTTCTCGAGGGGTGGGGCCAGATTTTCAAAAAGTTTCGAAAATTTTGTCAATCTTTTTTTAGGTCGACTAATTTGATTTTCTGAGCTCTCCCAAATCACTATAAAGACCCCATTTTGACAAAACTTTCTGCGCCGCAGGCAAACTAAAAAAAGCAAAAATAGGCGTTTTTAGGCAATTTTGGGAAAGTTTTGACCAAAGAAATTTGCGTTTTTTGCCGCGCGCTCCCCCCTCAAAATTAGTATAGCCTTTAGAAAAACTTTAGGGTCCGTTACCAAAGTTGGGTATCTCAAAAAAGTACTAAGGGGAGACTTCCTGAGAGGAAGGCGTCCGACCCTAAATCCGCCGGTGACTTATGTGCAGTATTGGACTCTGGGGCGTTGTGCGAGAGTATGGGACGCTTCCTGCTTCGAACACAAAAAAAATGTGTCCAATAATTTTTGAATTTGCTAGCCATCGAGAAAATCTTACATCTGCACCAACTAGTGAATGTTTTTTTCACAATTGCAAAAGCTTTAAGAAAGCATTTTGTCAAACATTCAAAAATAAATTCAATCTGGAAGATATTGATACCCAGAGCGCTCGAACGTAAGAAGATACTTCACCCGCACTCGTTTTATTAAGTGTGAATAAATCAGCCGAAGTACAGTGCTGCTTTAAATCTTTACACAAAAATTATTGGTTCAATTGCTGACAAAAATATATCAAAGAGAGCCGCTTATACAGCCCAACAAAATTTAAGCTGGGTATGATGTCGCAAAATATCTGAAATTTGTTTTTAAATAAACAACTGGTACGTTATATAGAAAAAAAGGACATTTTTTGGCAATCAAACAAAATTGAAATTAATTTTACAAAACAGACAATTATACTTTTCCTAAATTTTGTTGCGCTATTTAAAAAACTCACTTTAATGAAATTCTGTCACCAATTAAATCAATAATTGTAGCGTAATTTTTTATTGTTTAAAAAATTATTTTATTGTTTAAAAAATTACACCACGCCTTATACCAAAACAAATTACAATATATTAATTCGCCTAAACTTCTAAGGAATTATTGTTCATTTCACTTTTTGTCTAACCTCAACTTAATTTGAGAAAAATTTAAAATTTTATTCGTTTTGTCCGTATTATTTGAATCAACACTGTACAAACCAGCCGAAAAGTTACGTAATATGGATGAAAATTGCATGAATTTTGTAACTGTTGCATAATTGCTACATACAAATCATATTACAATTGTTTTTTTTTACTAGTTTATATGGTAGCTCGTTTATACTTCGGCTGGTTTATTTACGAGCGTTTTTTTGTTCTAAATAAAAGGATAAGAAATTTATCAGTTGAAAATTTGAGGTTTTTTTTGTGCGCTACGCTACTCGTTTCCTAGTATGGCACTGGTATCGAACCTGTCCTCAGCAAGATTGCTCGTAAAGAAGGCAAAACCCTGAAAATTTTGACTGCACTTTAAGGCAAATTAAAAATTTTAATTTTTAAAAATGTAAAATGTTTAAAAAAATGATCGAAAATCTAACCATTTTTAATTTTTTTTCCCGCATTTTATCCACCCAAACGCAATGCTAAGTACAAATGAATGTATTTAGTGTAGCGTATCTTATGCTAGAAAAAATCGAAAGGATTTGCCTGAGTTCACTTTGGAACAATTTGACCCACCGCTGCGAGTGTTATAAGGACGCAATGTATCTCGCGTAATTTCAAATTGCGTCAAACCTTCAGTATTTTAATTAAAATTCTCACTGCGCATCAAATAACTCAGCGCATGGCCCAGGCAACAGTTTTCACACCCTCATAACTTTACGAAAAAAGATCGTATGTTTAAGTTTTTTTTTAAATTTAATGTGAGCTCATAAAAACATTTTTTTTTCAGATAGTATAAAAAATTTCGTCAAAAACGCTTAGTTATGTGTCGAAGATTCGTGAGAGTTGTTTGAATAAAGTGGAAATATTTCTGATTTTGAACGGTGATAGATAGAAAATTCGATGAACCGAAAACCACTCAAAAATTGTCATTTTGACAAAATTAGAGCAACCATACATTTTTTGATGCAATATTTTGATTGGTTGAAATGTATGGACCGTGGTTTGGAAATTGTATGAAATTTTTCTACCCGGGTATGGTAAAGTTGGTAGCTATTTTTTCGGGCTTAAAAGATTAAAGTATAAGACCATCAATCGCCGCCCATCTTTTTGTGATTTGCAGCAATTTTCAACTGAAGCTCACAAATTGACCGGAGTACTTGAAAATAAAATTGTTGAAAAGCAAAACTTAAGAAGGATCAATTCAATTGAATTGTTGACCAAGTTCAAGCAACAAAAATAACTTGATCTCTTGAATTTACCAAGCGTGATGAAATTGGTAATGTTTTTTTTTTCAAAAGAAACACGAAAAACAAAAAACTTAAATAATTCTGAAAAATAACTCTGAAAAAAATTTAAAAAAGTCCCTTTGTTTATCAAAAAATGGCAGTAAACCAAAAACAGTGACAAAATTTCAGTAGCGTGCGCAGAAATTTTTCAATGGGGGCGTTTTTGAAAATTTTGTCGACTTTTTTTTAACTTCGACCAAGTTGATTTACCGAGCTCTCCGAAAAAACAATAAGGACCCTATTTTGTAGCTAAATTTTTGAAGAAAAAAACAGGCTAAAATTGACGACTGATTATTTGTATGCCTCTGAAACTACTAAAACTCTTAAACTCTCACCCTGTTTCGAACACAGTAGAAAGTGAAGGCGCCCAAACAGTCGGATATGCGGACACAGAAGAGAGTGGCCCAGTCATTGGCCTTGTCTCCGAACTTCACCTTCTCCCTGTAGGGGTTCTCGGGGCCACTGTAGAGAGCCGTCTGCACTACTTCCGAAAAGGGGGAGAGGGAGAGTAGTTCTTCTTCCACGGGCACTCGGTAGATGCCAGGTCCACTCAATTCTGAAGTATATATAAATAAATAAATGATAAGTTTGTGAAATTATTCATAATTAGATAGAAACGAATTAAAATCCTCAAATGGCTAAAACCGAAATCACGAACTTGTATCCCGAAAATTTCAAAAAACTCTAAAACTAACAAAAATTCAAAGCTCTAATTGAACATAATAGCTGTTTTTTCCCTGAACAATATTGTTTTATATTACTTTTTTAAAAATTTATCACGTCTTTATTTTTACTTTATCACGTCTTAAACTCTGTTCTCATTTGTAGTTCAGTTTGAACGTCTGATTCAAATGTTCTCATTCAGTTTTCTTCATTTTTTTTTACAAGTTGTCTGGTTCCAAGAAAAGAGACTCACGTATGATCTTGTAGGCCTTGATGCAGCCGTCGTCCGGGTCTGTCCAGTCTCCGAAGGAGAAGCTCCAGTACATGTAGTTCTCCAGACAGTTGCCGGGTCCAACTTCAGGGGTGTGGTTCAGAGTCACATTGCCCCCAGTGGGGGGCTCATTCAGCCTCAGGTTCATCTGGGACCACCCTGCGATTACAACCAAACATTTCAACTCCAGTCGAATTTTAAGAAACTTACCGCGCATTTGGAGATCCTTAAGAACCGAAACTTTATTAAAAGTATTTCGTTCCTTTTTCTTTAGAAAACTTTCTGAAATTCTTTCTTTTTGATGTTGTTTTCATTTAAATAGTGTTCAAGATGTAATGACAAAAAATACATGATAATTTGTTTTTAATTTCACGAAAATAGCAATTTCTATTTTTTTAAAGGTTTTTTTGCCAAGGAAGCGCATAAGCGAAGCTTCAAAATCCTCGATAGTTCCAGTCGGATTAGACTGAAACTCAAAAAAATCGAACTGGTTTTTCTCGACTGGGACAACTTTTTGAAATTTTCGGGGCTCATCCTTGTGTAATAAGCCTATGCTCGCTCGCTTTACTGGCTTGAAATTGAACTAAATCCCAAAACTTTTAACAATTTTTTTCGACACTGGTACAAGTTTTTGAAACTTTTGAAATTAAATGTCATTCGAATCACGACTAAAATGGTTTAAAAAGATATATCACTCGACCCAGTCCGATGATTTATTGTGGTGCCAGATTTTGCGTGGAAAACAAAAGAAGAAAAATCTAAAATCTTAAGCGAATACAAAGTTTTCTCGAGTTTAAAGAAAGGAACATTGACAAACTTTTTTGAGCTAATTGATGTTTTTAGGCAAAGAATGAACTTGCCACAGAATGCGTTCTCTCCACTTCTGATCTGCTCCTCTGTTCGGTCGTTGCACACGTGAAGAGACAGCACACAGTCCAGGGACTTGTTGCCCACCTGGTATCGCAGAAGACCCATCGGAACACCCACGTTCTCTGAAACATCCCAACATTTCTGTCCACTCCAATAATTGTATGGAGATGTGTCTATTATGCATGCAGAATATAGTCATTCCGCGACATTTAAATAGAGATCTATTTTAGATTTGGGAATCTATGCTGGGAAAATTCAGTATTGCTTGAGTTTGAGTTTCTACCAATTAACAGGCATGACCTTTCAACAGGAGAACATGTTTCATTTTATCATTTATTGATTGTTTTTTATTCGAAGCTCAGAATGATTTTTAAGTTTAAGCTACAGTTATACCAACTAAACTTACGCAGTCTGTTGTTCACACGAAGTTTCTCCACTGATTGCACTTCAGGGTCATCGCTCAAGGTCACATTCTCGTAGTTCATCATGTCTTTGTAGTCTATGGGCGAAGGGAGGTCTGGCTTGACGCACCCGAGGAACCACTCGAACGACACTTGGTCACAGTTCGTTCCCAGAGTGCACTCACTCATCGCCCGGAAGGTGCCGATCGGGTTGATCTTCTGCGCCGCCCGTTTGTCCGCTGTGATCATCGGCTCGGCCGGAGTTCCGTTTCCAGTTCTGTACAAGTAGAAACTGGTATTCAAAAAAAACTTTATCTGCTTCTCTTAAAAAGCGGTAGAGATCTTTCAAGTTTTTGAATGCACAACATTTTCATGGCTCTCGCTCTTGATTTATGCAAACGACTGTTAGCCGATTAAACGAAGCTTTGAAATGCTGTTAAATGAAAACAAAGTCTTCTAAAAAAAGTTTGAACCTACCAATTCTGTACAAGTCATGGCAACTCTAATTAGATTTTTACCCTCAATAAAATCTATCCTTTTTTGAGTTAAGTTGTTTGTAAATAAGAGTGATGGGCTGCCTGCTGGCATCTAGACTAGCCTTATTTCGACTGTGGGTGCCACGTATTCTTTGATATTGACTGTGATGATGGCAGTGGCTGTTCTGTCGAAGGGGTCTTGTGTCTTGCGGAACACAGCCATCAACTCACACGTCATGTCTACATACACAACACAACACAGCAAAGCAAAATAAAGAAACGAAATATCTAGGGGACATTAAATGAAGAAAAACTGCAGGTAATCTTAGAGGGTTTATGCGCATATCAAACCATTGCGAAATGGCTGCTGGGCCAACTAAATGTACAGAATTTGATATATGATAGAACTTTGATGACGGAGATTCCCTCGACATTTTTGAAATTACAAAAGTACGTGCCCATCATAAATTTTCCGCCAATCAAACAAAATTTGTAAGCACTTCCAATTGTAAAAATTTTGCCTTTATTGAAGTAGTGGTAGCAACCCGCAGTGAAAAAAAAATGGATAAAAATCGATTCTCTACAAAAAATCTACAGATTGACGCAAGTATAGAATTGATTTTTGTAAAACAATTTTTTAAACGATAATCGATTCTATACAAATAGAATCGATTTTCTTCCATCAAAAAAATAGGATTGGATTGCTAAAATAATTGATTTTTCTATTCTGTAAAACCTGAATGAAATCTGTAGAAAATCTGAAAATAGTCAGTGTATAATCTTTGTTAAAATATCTATATACAAACTGTAGATATTCTGTAGATAATCTGTTGGTAGTTTCTATGTAATATATCAAAAAAGATGTAAGATTATTTTTATTGTTTAAAAACTCTGAAGTTTGTAACAATTTAGTTTCGAGCATCCAAATCACAAATGAACCAATCCTTTTTCACAAATTTACCAAAACATTTGAAACAGGAATAAAATTTCTCGGCGTTATAGTGAGCTGAACTCACTTGAGAAGACAATCTGAGGGTTCCTGGAGTAAGAAAACTGCTTTCGTGCAAGTTTTCTTCAAATGCCATTATAAGATTATCTTTTTGATGCAGTTTTGTGAAAAAAAAACATCAAAAAAAACTTAGCAAAATTAACATGAAAATTAGTTATTGCTGCATTACTGATTTCAAATATTTTTTTACGATCAAACATTAGCATAAAATTTTAACCGAAAAGCCAAATTTTTATCTTTTTTTTTCAATATAATCATATTATCTGATGGGCTAGTACGTTGAGAACACCAGTTTTTAATCTGCATAGAAATTGGATTAAGTCTGAATAAAATCTGTATATAATTGAAATTTAGCCTTTAATTACTATGTTTATAATCAGAAGTAAATGAAGATAATCTGTATATATAATATGAACTCTGTATATAGTCTTATGCGATCTGTAAAACGTATGCTCAAATATTGACTTAAGAAAATAAATTTTAGAAAAAAATGGTATTGATAATGTAATCAAAATTTATAGTTTAAAATTTTTGCAAAACAATATGCAATAAAATCGATTTTTGGAATATCAAAATCAAATTTATATTTTATAAAATTACAATAGATCTGCAATATGTATGTTTTATTTTATAGATATTCAATGTTTATCCATATTTGTCACAGTGGGAACCCTTCCCAATTTTTAATGAATTGGTGCTTTGTCAAACTTTTTCAAATATCTTGCATTTCAAACTGATGTTAAAAAATGAGGATAACCGGTTGCTGTGCAAGTAGGACAGAATGGTACGATCGTATACTTAAAAAACTGCAAAATAAAGATTATTTAAAAAAAAATTTTTTAAATGGCATTTACGATGTTCATACTAAAAAAGTCTATTGTAATTAAGCTTTTTTTTCTTAAGACTACTTATAAAAAAACAAGACAAAATAAACAATATTTTTTTCTACTTTTTAGAGTCATTTTTTAAATTTTTGAAGTTTTTCATTCCCAAAAAAACCACGTTACCTTAAGGCCTAGTGTGAAGGTGTGAAGTAGTCTCGAAGTTGCAAAATTTAACTAATTAAGCAACTTCACAATTTTCTTTGAGTAAAAAACGCTTACGGTAAAAAAGTCTAATTCCCGATTATAAAACACTTGAAATATAAAAATTAGGCAGATTTGACATTTTTGGTTAAACAGGCGTATCGGTTGACGTTTTTTTTTAAAACTGGCTCAAAAATTACATTTTTTCCTAATAATTGATTTTTTTTTTGATTTTTTGAAGTTTTTTATTCCCAAGACGGCGCTAAAAAAAATCGAGCGTAATTCTAATGAAACAAAACTGTATTTTCATGTCTTGAGTAAAAGACGCATGGCTTATCCTTCTATATAATATTAATATTTTGGTAACTGATTTTGCTTGCATATCAAAAAAAGAAAAACCTAAAAGTTCCTATACATCATACGAATAAATGTACCATAAAATAGCAAACTTTAACAGTATAATTTAGCCTCTCAATATTTTTTTTCAGCGAAGTTACTTCAGACACCTTATATTTTGTAAACTGCTTTATGATTTTTTATGTTTCCTCACTTATAACTGCGGTCCAAAATCAGAATTTTTCTGGTTCAAAAGAAAATTTTTCGAACAAACTTCTCCAGCAACAATTATGACACAGCTGCACTTTGCAAACACAAGCGGGAACACGACAAAAAAGCAGCTCTATAAAGTTAAATAAGCAAAAGTAAAAATAAGCTTCGATTTAATAAAATTTTTAAGCCAATTTTTTTCTCTTCTAAAGTCAAAAAAGCGTTTTTGAAACGTACTCGCGTGACAAAAAGTAGCTTGTGGAATATTTTCTGTGAAGTATTTGATTTCAATTTATCTGGTTTCCCTTGATGGGCAGTAAAACCCATACAGTATCCTTGGTCCTAAAAAATTTGCTTCAAACAATTTTGTAATTGTATCTAATGAAACTTAGTTCATTAAGTAAAATAATAAAAAAGAATAATTTTACCAAAACAGGGTTGCAAGATGTTTTTGGGAGGAGTTAAAACAGTTTTACCGCTTCTCATTCCGTCATAGGCAGCCGGAGTCACGTCCAGATAGCCTTTGTTACCCGCTATGCGACCAGGACCCAATCCCTCCGCCCCTCCGGCCGATCCAGCATTCTTCCCAGTGGGCAGGGGAGGGGGGTAGGCTTCATTCAGTTCGTCATCGATTATCGGGTAGGATTCTGCGCCACAGCGCGAGTACCATTTGAAGTCGACAAACTCCTACGAGCAAACAACTAGTCATTCGGATTCTTGTTGAAAAAAAAAACAAATTTCAAAAACTCAACTGCAGGAGAACTTATTCTTGATAATTACAAAATTTTTAATTGACATTGATATTCTCTGGCATTGGGCATATTGTCAGGTAATTTTTATATATTTTGAAAAGAACCAGGGTTGTTGAAAAGAGACAAAATAGCCAAAATGGAAAGAGCCAAAATAGCTAGCTGAATTATAGTTGAGAAATCTGACAAAAAGACTCCTTTTCAGAGAGACTACACTCACCCCGACATCTATGTCCAGGTCCACAGAGTACTTGTTCGGATCCAGTCGCAGTGTCTGTGTGTAGCCGAGGTCCACGGTCGAAATGGAAGAGTACATCTGGCCCAGAATGTCATAGGGCACTGCAGAAAACAAATACGGCAGCAAAAGATAACAGATCGTTGCTTGAGAGAGAAGCAACAACTCTTAGCCCAGAAAAATGCAAAATCAGAGACACAAAAGCTCTCCGAAGAGCTCAATTACTCGTGTAAATGGACCATAGTTAATGGTCTCAACTTAGTTTAGAGAATTTCTGCGAAATTAGATTAAACCTAATTATATAAGTGGTCTAAAACTGCTGCTTACTACACGTATACCCAGTAAATTATTGAAACAGATCTGAAATAATCTTTTTCAGATCTAAATTTCAGATCTGAAAGAGGTTGTGAAATGTTTAAATAACGCTTGGATACTTTAAGGATTGGTTATTTCAGATCTAATTTCAGATCTGAAATTTAGTTTTTCTTGGTTATTTTACATCTAAAAAAATCAATGATTCGGACTCAATTTTTGCTCTGTTTGATTTTTTAGCTTCTGCTAGCTACTAGCAGGTACTCAGGATAGTCCCAAGTTGGAGTTCTGATTAATTTTATTGTTCTGATTATTTGTTCTGATTAATTTTTCTATGACATCACAAAAGTTTCTATAAGAGTTATGCCAAAATCACAAAATCATTTACCACTAAAAACTGATTCCATTTATGTAGATAGAAAACAATTCACGAAAGTTGCCAGTTCGAATAAACTCCACTCACGTATTTTAATGTATGTGAACTCTGAGCTCTGATACTTTGGCGTGGAGTAAGGTAGTCTCATCTTCACATAGAGAGTGCACTTGTGGACCCCGTAGTAGAGTCCCTTGGGGTGGATGACCAGTTCTGAGGTGGTGTTGCCGGAGAAGGCGGGCACGTAGGGGTCCCCGGAGGGCTTGCCGTCTCTCTCACTGAAGGGCTGACACGTCCACCACTTGTCGTTACTTCTCGTCTCGTCACAGTTCAGAATGACATTGCCAGTCAGCTGAACAAACGAAAGAAAAAATCAAAAACACATACTACAAAGTAATCAAGGTTGCTGATCAATTAGTCAGAAAACTTTTTCACAGTTTACAGTGCAGCTTGAATAGCAACTGAATGGGTCTCAATTTAGCAATTCACTCGACCCGATCTGAGGTTCATGCATCCAAGTTTAGGCGTAGGTAATCGATTATAACGGATTATTTTTGAGAATTATAATTGATTATAATTACCAAAATTAGATGTTCAAAAGATTTATAATTGATTATAATCGTGATATTTTCCAAGAGATTATAGTTTCTTATAATCGATTATAATTAATTATAGTTCTTACGAAAAACCCTTAGAATCAATTATAATCGATTGTAATCGTTTATAATCTCTTATTTTTTCAAAAATTTGTCAATTCAAAACTATATTCGAATTAAATCTTTTGGGTTATTATTTTTGTGTCAAAAAAATCTCTAAAAGAGAGATCTCTTGAAAACTTTGGTTCATCTGAACACAAAACTTTACCACGAAACAAAAATTTCGTAGAGATCCTTTCATATTAGTGGAAAGGTTGCTGCGGTAGATAAAAAATAAATCTTCCAAATCAATCATGAAACTGAATCAATTTGCTAATTTTTGGTTGGTTAAAAAAGCTCAAAAGATACATCACAAAATATTTCTAATGTAGAAGAAAAGAAAAAAACTTATGAATTTGAATTGATTGGTAAACTTTTAAAAAAGATTTTTTTTTTTCATTTTTCATAGTAAGAACCAACATCTACAAAAAGCATAAAATATAAGCAATTTAGATGCAACTTCGAAGGCAAAATGGACCAACAAAAGGCAGTATAAAAAATTATAATCGGTTATAATGGAATTTTGAGCAAAAATAATGAATTGAAAATTTGAATAAAATAATGAATTATAATCAACTATAATCAATTATAGTTGATTATAATTCATTACTTTTATTCAAATTTTCAATTCGTTAGGTTTGCACAAAAATCCATTATAATCGATTATAATTGATTATAGTCCCTTTTATTGGTCCATTTGTTGGTCCATTGTATAGAAAAATATCCATTATAAACTATTTTTCTATACAATTATAATCAATTACAGTTGTATAAAATAATAGACTATACTGGATTCTAATTAACTATAATTTGATTTTTTAAAAAATTATAATCAATTATTAGTTGATTAAATCGATTGTTTCTCAATTTTGTTAAGACTGGTACCAAAATCGTAATATAATATAGAAACTGGATGCGGGTTGATGAGTACATGAATTTTTGCATCCGAAAAAAACGAAGCCAGTGGTTTCATGGATTAAAACAAAGTTCCATGGATAATAATCGATTTTCATGGTCAGAAAGGTTGCCATTGTAATCGATTATAACTCCTCTTGAGACCCGGAAATCCATTATAATTTTTTAAACTTTATTTTAAGAGAATTCAAATCGATTACAATTCACTTAAAATTCATTGTTATGGAAAATAATGGATTATATTCTCTAAAACTTTTTCCATTTTTTGGCAAAATTTGGAGCTTTACTGCATTACTCACAGCCAACTCCCTTTCTGAACCTACTAACATTTAGTTAAATCATATCTTTCATACTTTAAACCCAACTTTTTCACTTTTATTACTCAAAAATTATCACCCATCATTATCCGCACACCTATTCCCATCCCACCAACGCCACCCCACCTACCCTCACTCACTATCCCACACCTACGCCAACTTACCTATCCTCACCCCCACCGAATCCTCCACCTACCCCCGCTTACTCCTCTCGCCGACCATGTCCCCCACACACACCTCCCCACCCCAATTGACACCCCCTTAAAGTGTGGAGGGTTACAGATCGGTAAGGTGGGGTGGGGGGGTTGTCAAAGGTGTGTGCGTTGGGGTGGGGTGTAGGGGGCCCGCGTTTACGGTAAATGTAAGTGAGGGTGAGCGATGAGAAAAAAGTATGGTGAAAGTTGCTGTGAAGTGTTTAAGGGAAGGGGAACACGTGAATTGATCAACAGACCTCGAGAGGCCATTGGATTTAGGGAGCGCCTGGGGACTCCCCCTTCCCCCTCAGGCATTCGAACCCCTTTGTCTGCCGACCCAAAAGGTAATCCTACCATTACCCCCCCCCCCCCCCACTATTTTGAGATCCCCCCACTATCTTCAGGTCACCCCACAATTTTGAGATATCAATTTTTGGCTTACTAAACCTAAAATTTTGCTAACGGAAACTTCGGAGCCAATATATATTAATTTTAAGGGTGGGTGAGATTTTTTTGGTCAAAGTTTCCAAAAAGTGCATAAAAATGCTTTTTTGGCCCGTTTTTTTTTCAAAATTTTGCCTAACTTTTTTTGTTAGGCAAAATTTCTGGACTAGACTGATTCCAAGTGCTTCCAAGGCAGAAAATCTGACCAAAACAGGGTCCTTTTACTGCCTTGGAAGCACTTGGAAGCAATCTAGTCAGCCTGAAAAAAAAGACACAATTTTCGAAATTTTTTTGAAAATCCGCCCCCCTCGAGAAAATCCTAGATCCGCCCCTACTTATAGCTTAAATTTAAAATAAATTTAGTTTTTACTGTGTTTTCATGCAGAATAGCTAAACTATCATTGTCAGATGATATTTTGATAGAAAAAGGGTTATAATTTATTATAATAGATATAAGAGAAAATATGGGATTTTCGGAGAAATCATAATCAATTATAACTGATTAAAATTTAATAAAATTTGATCATTATAATGGATTCTAAATTGTTCAACCATCTAAAATTGGCACTTATAATTCATTATAAATTTGCTAAAAGTACGAATATAATTATAATATAATCGATTATTTTCTCTTTTTACTGAGTGCGGGTAACAAATTGGCTGCTGACGCGTAGAGAAACGAAACACCAGTCACTATTAAAATTAACACGTGGTATTAAGTTGCAAAGTTTATGTCAGGAAAATTAGTGGATTGAAAAAATAAAGAACAGTTGCAAAACACCAGAATAGCAATCTCATTTGAATCTTGGAAATAAGTTTTTTTTCAAAAAATGATTTAAATTTTTTTTTAAATACTATGGTTTTTCGTAGCGAATAAAAATCTAATATAAACTTCAGTTCAGTGGAGTAAAGTAAACTTTCACGGCTTAAAAAAGCATACTGCCCCCTATGATAGTCACGAATATGAGAGCTTCAATGTGATTAAATCACTTAACTTATTCCGATCAAACTAACTGTAAAGTCGTATTTTCCCAATACTAACTCAATATTAAAAAAACCAAAACTTTTGCGTGTTTATAATCGGCATAGTTTCTTGAAAATAAATAAAAAATCGGATAACAGACTGTTTTATAATTTCTAACATAGGAAAGGGTTTCGCAGATTTTCGAAAACTTTGCCATTTTTTGTGGGCCCAACAAATTGATTTTCTAAACTCTCTCAAAGCACTTATACAGCAGACCCATGATAAATTTAAAAAACGGGCCGATAACGAACGACGTTTTTGGGGAGTTTTGACCAAACAATTAAGTTTTTTTGGCGCCCGCTACCCCTGAAATTCATTACAGATTGGCGCCAAGGCGCTTCCAGAAAACATTTTAAAGGTGGTCGGCTTAAAATGGCTGTCGTTAAATGGTACTTGAACGGGGACTCTTCGGGTGGCGATGAGGTGAAAATGTTTAACGTTATTCGAAAAGTCGGACGTGACATTTTAAGAAAATGACGTGATTGAACTTACGAAGTTCCTGTCTTTCCTGTACATGAGGCGTGGCTGGAACACATCTGCACCCCTGTAGTCTATGCTGATAGAGGGGAAGGAACAGGTGATGGGCTCCTTACGTGCAAACTCATACACGGCCGACACCTGCAGACACATAAATAAACAAGGGGGTGTGAACAGCAGTACTGTCATAATGAGTTGAATGGTAGCTATCATAATTCAAAGAAAGGAACAGAATTAGATGTGAACTGTGACAAGTTCAAGAGTGACTCACCGATCCAATGGGGTTCCAGCAGAAGTAGTGGATGGAGTATGATTCATGTTTGGTGCCGAAGAAGGGCTTGATCTCCACCTTGTTCTCTTTGATCACGTGCGAGGGCAGTTTCGACTGGGAGTCTTCCGCCTCCCCCTCCCACCCGTCCCAGTCTATGCCCAGAATGGAGTCTTGTCGCGGGTACATGTCCAAGTAACTGGACCTGTTATAACATTAATGTTAGAAAGTTCAATTAAATCACTGGATTGAGCAACTTTATAGAAGCTACAGTTTTTTTTTCTTTATAAACTGAGGAAATAATAATAATAATAAATATGTTTTAAGTAGTGCAATAATCCAACAATATAGAGAACTTATCTTTGATAGAACACCAACTTGAGGAAGAGCAGAAGCTTAATCAACCTGTTGAAGCGCCGCTGAGAACTTTCTATCGAGTACTGTCTTATATGGACTTGATTGATTACCTATGTACCATTTATCCAGAAAAGAAAATAATAGATTTAAAGAAAAAATATTAAATTTCAAAATCTTACACGTCACTTATCTTGCATCAATTTGATATTTATTCAGAAACATTTGCGAGCAAAGAAAAGTAGCAAAAAACAGTTTTCAGACTTGAAAATGATATTATATATTAATTGTTTTATTTCAATCAATGTGATGTTTTTTTTTGGTCAAAAAGGCAAAGTGGGCTAAAATAAAGTTGTTTGAAAAATGAAATGGACATCTCCGCTCAATAATTTGACTGTCATATATTTATGGTAAGCAATAGTTAAAAATTTTTAAGGTAAAACAGGGTGGAGCTGTTTGAGTGATTTGGGGAATCTTTCGGCTAGTAAAAACAAAACTAGCGAGAGAAAGAGTGAAGGGAAGGGTTTGATTGCAGTTAGCATATATAATTGGAGGTGTGATGTGGCAATTGATGTACTAACGCTTCTGGATTCCTCCAAGGGTTCTCTGGGTCCGACTGGTTGCTGCATCTGTGGTAGCCATTCTGAAGCCACCCTCTCCTAACCACATCGTCCGCACTCTAGAACCAGACATCAGGCAACTCTTTCACCAATTCAAAAGATACGAGGAAAAATTGCATAAACGAGAGTTAAACAGCCGATATTCTCAACTTTTTACAGACTTCACTTTAAAATTTAAAAATGGCATCTCTTCAACTATTCCCTCCTTTCTTATTGCAAAAAGGGGAAATTTGTAGCTAGGAACAATATTCGAATATTCTTAACCGTTGAATTAGTCCTTTATAAGGGTGGATCTTCTTAATTTGGTTCCATGGGGTATTAAAGGGATCTTCCCTTGTGATACATATTTAGTAGGATTGACAGAGAGCAAAGGTGTTTTTGGACGATTACCTCGTCGTTGGCATCGTCTGTGTCGTAGAAGGACTGCACGAAGCCCAGAGTAGTTGTGCATCCCTCGCAGAAAGTCAAGCAGCACGTCTTCCAACCTGCATAAAAAACATAAATGAGAGATTTCTCAGCAGGTTTTGAGCCAAATCAGCACATCTGGATAAAATTAACTCAAAACTCCAAAATAAACCATAGTAACTCACCGATAGTGGTGAGTCTGAATATGACCTCGGCAGTGGCCCCCTCCTTCCACACAAAGCCAGGCGAGGCCACTTGGGGGGCGGAGGGGGGCAGGGCTATCCGGAAGGGGTTCCCATCCGAGCCCACAATAGGCACCACCATTGCTAAACAGCCAGCAGAAAAATATTATTGACAACCAATAATGAAGATTTTTAGAAAGAAGATTCAGTATATTTTATTTTGTGGAGTCAGATTTAATATATATATATATATATATTTATATATATATATTTCTACTTGGGCGCTGTAAATGTTTTCCTCTTTAGAGTTTGATTTTTCATATATATTTATATATATATATATATATATATATATATTTATATATATATATTTCTACTTGGGCGCTGTAAATGTTTTCCTCTTTAGAGTTTGATTTGTTCATCTACTGCTATCTTTATTCGAATATCTCTCCTCTCACCATCTGCCCCCATCTGCATGGGTGTGGATATGGTCACTGTGGCCCCCTCCAGACTGCGGTAGTTGGCCACTCCAAACGACTGAAACAGACGACCACAGCGCTATAAATAACTGATTCAGAGTTTGAACTGTTTTTCCAGCTACATGTAGTTGTGCACACAAAATGTGGATCTAAACAGCCATAGCTGAGAACGTGCGAAGAGTAAGAATGCGAATCCAGGGGAGTCTTTTGGAAAAGCGAAAGCTACATGTACTAGAAAAATAGAAGAAAAAAGTGGGATTCGTTGTTCAAAAATGTTGTTCTAGTGGTGGGAAAAAAGAGAAGAATGAGGAAGAATGAAGAGAGTGTACGGCGAAGAAGAAGAGGTGGGTGCTGGTCTTCTGGTTCACAAATGTCTCCTCCTTCACTTCCGACTCATCAGCCCAGTTCCACGTGAACGTCTGATTCACAACAGCTGCAAACCATCAAAAGAACAGTTAATTCAACACATTCTATTAAGAAGTCATCTTCACATCAGTGTGATTTGAGTCCAAGAGGGCTGACCACATTTGCACTTGAAGACAAACGCTAATGAAGTCACTACAAGACACAGTATTTCAGAGGTAGTTTTTTTGAGAGGAGGGCAGTTTTATGTTTTTAATCATTCTGAATAAGCCAACAAACATTCGTCGATTTTTCTGATATGGTTAAAAATTGCTATTCTGTCAGCTTTATTCATTTCAACTCCACTACACCTCGTACAATATACACCTCGTACGTCCACTACATAGTATAGTGTCGAGCGAAATTTTATATCAGAGGCCTTATCTCTGATAGGAAACTCAATGAAAATTTTGAATTTTTTTTATTTGTGATTCGAACGTCAAGGAATTATAAGCTTTTGGTAATTTCTTCAAGATGATAACTTTGAAGCCTTGTCTTCTTTCTCCTTTTCCCACTCTTGAAGACTAAGAAAACAAAAAAAAAACTGATAAAAAATTTGGTCGAATTTATCCCGGCCACATATATAGCAAATATTTATTATCCTGATATTTTGAACATAAATCATTGAAAAATCTCTTCATGCCAACAATAAGGTCAAAATCGATTAGCTATTTAATTATTTAGAACTTACGGAGTTATTTAATAAGTGCGTAAGTCTTAGTTAGTTGGGTGATTTTGATATAAAGAAAAACCAATCGGAATTTTGGTCTGTTTCTAATATATAGAGAGGAATACTTTACTAAGTCAGACTGGATAGCAGTTCATAGATCCTCTGCGAATAGCAAAGCCACAATTACTTCACCCGAGTGGCCAATTGGCCTTGAGAAGAATCGAACCAACGTCTAACCGGTCTGCTTAAATCCTAAACTTTAGCTTGGACTTCTCTGCCAATCGATCTCAATGTTAGTTTTGCTGTGTCAAGCTCAGATAATTTAAAAATCTTTTGTGTTGCCCCAGAGAATTGACGGAAGCCAGGCTGTAATCTGAGGATGAGTGCTACTGCACATTGCAGCTAATGAAAGAACTGCATCATTGTCAGTTTGGCGAAAAAGTTAGAGGCGATAACAGTAACTTCAACAACGAAAAAACTAATAACCTATTCTTAAGAAATTTAGAGTTTGGATGTAACTGTTGCTCCTTGAAGCTCCGAATGTCGATTGTGTGGAAAGTTTTGTTCAGTGTCTTCATGATAGTACTCGACTATGACAGTTGCCTTGAGTGTTATTCCCGGTTATTGCGACAAATACTGTTTCCTTGGGAGAGAAAAGAAGACAATGGTGCACAATGGTGCTGTCTGTTCACATGAAAGTTTTTTTTTGGATAATTAATGCTTTCGAAGAAAACTGTATCAGCGGTATGGCAAGGAATGCAGCTTGCATTTTAAAAGGGGTGGATAGACATGGCATTCAATGGCGCTACTTGGGCGTTAGAAAAATGAAGGAGAGCTTCTCCTCAAGAAAATCTAAAATTCTCTCTTGAAAAAACCAGCGGTACAGAAGAAGTTGGCCTGAAATGAATGAAATAGAAAATCAATTGGCTCCGTCAATCAATTGCTTGAAACGTGATGCTTTGTTTTGACTGCCTAGTTTTTCTTCAATTTGTCTTATTTCGCCGACTGACTTTCAGATTTGTTTTCAGAGACATTTTACTTTTGTCAGATTTGGACGTTTTTTTTTTCAAATGGAAAACAAACCTGATCTTTTGTTGAAAGAATGAGTTAACTTCCAAATTTTCTTCGAGGTGTTCGAACGCGTCAAGGCATTCGTTCAAACAAATGTTTCAATCATCGCAGTTGCTGCTTTTGTGAAAAGTAGAGGATGTCACGAAGTCATTCTTGAAATGTAATGTTAGTGTGTGAGGAAGACCCCATCTCAGAAATTATGTCCGATGGAATGTTACGTTATTTCATCAATTGCGGATTCCTCGCGCCATAGAAGTCACAGTGGTGGTTGAAAGTCAGCAAGTACACCAATTTGAAGAAACAATCCGTGTAATTTTTTTTGATGGAAGACCGATGAAGTTATGATGCACTATTAAGGATGCGGCGAATTTTTCCGGTTGAATTTTGGAGTTCCATGGTACACGCTAAAGAAGGAAACTCGCAAACTGCATTTGTTATCATGCACGCAAAACTTATGAAGTACTTATTACACTGACGCATCTTAATGGGCAGTGTTTCCTTTAACCAGATATGCGCAAACGACTAGTAGATTTTGACTAAGAAATCGCTCAAAATTTATGGGAGTATTCTCATAAAAAACACTACTGAAAGCAAATTGCGCTAAAGCAACTTTTGCTCCGCTTGTTAACGAATGTTTTTGAGGTCTGCTAGTTTCATATCATCGTTGTTTTAGCGCAAATGCCAGCGAGAGTATAAATGCAAGTAGACAAACTTGAATATGATTGGACCAAAAGTAACTACATATAAGAACAGTTGCTCATGTAGCTAAGAGACAAGTCTCTCACGCCAGTCAAGCGGGTTCGAGTCCCCCATGCACAGACCCTAAAACATGTAGACCCGAGTGGCTTTAGCCCCATTTGACCGTTTTTTACTGTTTTTTGGTTCTAATTCGGTTCAGCTTTGATTAAGACTGACCGTCAAAAAGAGCAATTTGTCTCAAAGACATTACTGGTTCTTGTGGCTAGCTTGCGCCGAATTAAATTATAATTGGAGCTGATTGTTGGTGAATTTATGAACTTGTTTTACAGAAAACTTTGAATGAAATTATCAATATGGCCGATGAAATTTGTATGGACAAAAATACGAATTGATTATTGATTTTTCGGTTCCAAATTCACTTTACGGAGATTGAGCGCGCATGTTTTAGCGCCCGCAAAGGACCGTTATTCGATTAACAAGGGACTCGAGTGACAGTATCCAGGGTGACAGCAGCCTGAGTGAATGACCTCAATCGGAGGCTTACACACAAGTCTCCTGAGCAGGAACGGCAAACATCAATTGGAGGCCTACATGCAGGTGCAGAGGGTCTGTTGCGGATTGCAGAGGGACTGTTGCAGATTGCAGAGGGTTTTTAGCGGATTGTTAAGCGTCTGTTTTGGATTGCAGAGAATTTGTTGCGGGTTGCAGAGGGTCTGTTGCGGATTTCAGATCGTCTGTAGCGGATTGTAGAGGGTCTGTTGCGGATTGCAGAGGGTCTTTAGCGGTTTGAGGAGCGTCTGTTGCGGATTGCAGAGCGACTGTTGCGGATTGCAGAGAATCTGTTGAGGATTGCAGAGAATCTGTTGCGGATTGCAGAGGGTCTGTTGCGTATTTGAGATCGTCTGTATCGGATTGTAGAGGGTCTGCAGCGGATTGCAGATCGTCTGTTGAGGATTGCAGAGCGTCTGTTGCGGATTGCAGAGGGTCTGTAGCGGATTGAGGAGCGTCTGTTACGGATTGCAGAGCGTCCGCTGCGGATTGCAGAGAATCTGTTGCGGATTGCAGAGGGTCTGTTGCGTATTTCAGATAGTCTGTATCGGATTGCAGATCGTCTGTTGCGGATTGCAGAGCGTCTGTTACAGATTGCAGAGGGTCTGTAGCGGGATGAGGAGCGTCTGTTGCGGATCACAGAGAGTCTGTTGCGGGTTGCAGAGGCAGTTTCCATGCAGACAGAGCAAGCTAGCACCCGGTAATTTTTTTCTCAATAACCAATATTTTTGGACATATCCGATGAACTGAAGTAAATTACAATCGGTGCACAGACAAAACGCTTGACATTTTTTCTCGACACCAAAATTTTTTGGATATATAAAAACGAAAAATTAATCCGTGAAAATGGAACACAGACAAGAGGTACTGCACTTTTTTTGGATTAATTTTTGACCCGAAAACGCTGATCAGAATTTTCCGAAAATTTTTGTGAAAAAACTAGAAAATTATCAAAAAAATCCTCAAAACATCCCCAGAATTTGGTGAAACTGTGCTGTGAGACGACACCAACCTTATGTTAAGTCGTCTGGCAGCGAATTTTCAGGCGAAACAAGTTGAGGTTTCTTCCGCGTGTGTTGTTGGAACTTATACAATTTGACTAATCCCCAACCCACCTTTGGTGAAACTGAGAGCCAGTTCGCTTCAAGTGTATCAAAGCCGTTTTTGCCCGTCCGATTATTGACGTCGTTGCATGACAGTAATGTTAAGTGGTCAAGTACGGTGTTACTGGGTTATGTTGAATTCTTTCATCCTCAGTTCTACTCCATGTGTGTTGTTGTTCAAGCGACCTACTTAATTTTCCAAACCCATTGGTACTTACTTAAGCGTAACGTAGCGGTCGCCTAGGTCCCCTAAGTGAGTGGCATTCATTATAAGAGCTAAGTCTTTGGATCACGCGCTTCGAAAACTTCCCGCTCCGTCCCAGAAGCGCGTCAGAGATACTTGCTTCACAAAGCCAGGTTCAAGTTTGAACTTTAACACTAGGGACTCTCAGAAAACGATACAGTACTACCTTCACCACTACTCGTCTCACCGTAACGACAATGTTATTTGGCACGGCGCCATTAATAAATCAAAAATGAAACAACTGCAAGCTGAGTAGTGAGCAACTTGTCAGTTTGTTATTAAGGTATAGGACAAACATTTGTGCGATCGTAAATTGTAGACAGAACGAAACTGAGAGTATAGAAGAAAGTTTAAATTCAACAGGTGTTCTCGTTCTGAATGTCGTCAAAGACTTCATCTCCAAGCGTAAGGCTAAGGACCAGGTACTAACTGAGAAGTACAAAGAGCTTCACCAGCTTCCTTCCGTTGAGTGAAAGACTCTCTTCCTTCTAAGGCGTTATAGCGCTAACCTTAACATACTGAAGATGCGTACGAAGCGTAACCGCTAACCACTCAAAGCTGGAAAAGCTATGAAAAGCTTTGAGACGTCAAGCTCCCCCATCTTGTAAATTAATGTTGATGTTTTAATGTCGATTAAATTTTGTATCAAACAGTATCTAATTTTATTAGTTGTTTCCGATTTAGTGAACATCCGT